GAGGGTGACTTCCCATGAGAAAACATAAATGGAAGTTGTTTTGGCCTTGGTCTACGAATTTGTGGAGAGGAGGACTTTCAGGAAAGAGATGAGTTAAAGAAATGATCCAGAAGGATGTTTTGGGAAGGTGGAGGAGTCTAATAGGAGAAGGGCTTCAGGAGAGCCCAGCTGACAGTAGTTTTGTTGTCTGAACAGAGCTTTCAGCATTAAATTCAACTACAGCTGGTTTAAGCTTCAGCAGTTTACCAGTTGTAGGCTTAATCCTCTGGTGTATGGAAGGGTGAGGGAAGTGAAGTGAGGTGCAGCTGCGATCAATTGACCCTATCATAGGTTTACAAAGAAAATACAAATGCAGAGTAACACAAACTAGGTAATGTAACTCTTGACACTTTTTTTTTCTTCTTCCTGTTCGGTAACATTTGTTGCTTTTTGAAGATGCGGCTTCCTTCAGGTATAGTCAGCCTTCCTTTCTTTAAAAGGAGTTAGTTTAATAGGTTTACCTGTCACATTCTGCAGCTTCTTGAGTGTTTCTCAGCTATGATTCTTCTCTTGCTTAAAAAAAACTTATTTTAGCATTTCTCGTTGTCAAGAGAAAATGACAAAACACTCAGCTGTTTTGTCATTTGATTGTAGAGACTTGGTTATTTGCATAGCCTGGGTTTGAGAAAGAGCAGCCTCTACCATATGTAAATAGGTTCATTTTGGCGTTATGTGTCTAGCTGGCAATGTAAAGGATGTTACATCTCTTTGTCAAAATAATTTTGTCATTAAAAACTAATTAAGGAAACCAGATGAAATTCCATGAAGTTGTCACAGTTTTGCTCTTGCACCATGTAATGGATACATATATTGCTTTCGGTTTTCTATTTCGCTAAGTACAGTGAGAAGCAGTCACAATTTCTGTGGATTTCGTATAGTACTTGGACTATCCCATTTATGATTCACTTATCAGAAGATCAAGTAGTGAATGATGAATTATTAATCAAATGTAAGATGAAAGACCAAATTACTCATATACTTCAATTAACATAAAAGCCCTGGAAGTAAAACAAAATACTTTGTTCCCAATATACATATCACTTTCCCAAGCATCTACATGCTTTCAGAATCCTTTATAAAAGGGAGGCCTCCAAAACTAGCAGCCAGAGCAAGATGATATTGCATAGGAACAATAAGAGCTTAGCACAGATGTGTACTAACAAATGTGTGCCAGATATCGTTGTACACAGCACGTGGCCACACAGCCTAATTGGGATACTAATGAAAAGACTGTAAAATTAGAGATTATGTCTGTCCAGTTGGTCAGAGTCATCTTATAGACTTGGGATCTTACAAAAGGAACATCGTGGTCATTTTGAAATAAGCATGTCCAGTCACTTCTCCTTATAGAAGTTCCATTAGATCTAATGGAATTAATTCAGCCACTGCTCAGACCTGCTATGTAATGATACAATGATGGTTTGAAAGAGAAAGCTAAATTTGAAATACAAAAAAAAAAAGTAAAATGATTCTGGCCTCTTCAGCTGGTGAAGTAGAAACTTTGGGAATTGCAGCTAAAAATTTTTCCTATATATTTTGGCACTGTTAAATGGATCATAAGGTGTTTGTGTACAGCTGGATCTGAAAGCAAAATAAAAAATAACATTGCTTACTTAGAATTTGACTGCTGAGTAGAAATATACAGACTTATTTGTGCAAACTGTATGTGGATGGCGATTAAAAATATGAAGAGAGGGTAATGATCAGGGTGTGGCATCTTAAATGTGAAATACAGAAAATTTTAAAAAATCAAACCAGAAAGAAGGGTAAGTTGGTGTAGCAGAATCTGCTACTTTTAGGACAAGTTCACTTCTCTTAACAGACTACTACCTCACACGAACTTTCCATATAGAGATGAATGTTTCTTTGACATGAAGTTACAAAACTTCTTTAACTGTTTTGCAAATTGCTATAATTGCTGTGCTTTCTGAGAATACTACTAGCCTGGCATAATGAGTTTAAGAATAACTATGTATTAAGCATACAGCTTTCAAATCTACCATTAATGAAATGTCTGTCCATGTCATTAATTGCGTCTGCTTCAGTGGCTTGTATAAAGATTTTAGTAAGAGATGAGGATTTTGAACAAAGGTTCAAGAGGTTTGTGCAAGTGAAGTATTGGAAATCTGATAACATTAAAACAATGGTTAGCATCAAGAAATGTCCTGAAAGATCACCACTTCAGCAAACATTCAGGATTACAGAGCAATTAATCTTTGTGGTTTGACAGGAAAATCTTTATTCACATTACTTAAAGTCTTCTTTTTGTCTGTAACTGAATTCCAGAAGCAGATGTCAGTGCATACATACTGAGCTTTTCTTAAAGGGCCTTTGCTTTCCTTGAAAGATAGCAATGGTTTGTGAGTTAAGTGGCCATATTAAATCCAGCAAGGCAAAATGTAAGGTTCTGGAGACAAAATATTCAGCTCATACATCACTCAATTTACTTCGAGCAATTCAAAATCAAAAAGTAATTTAATTCAATCCTTACAGGAAAGACAAGTGTCTGGGATATCTGATTAACTCATTTCCTTGTCTAATACTTACCTCTTTACAGCTTCAACTTTCCCACATCACAGAAAAGTTCTCAGCGTGTGCTGAGGCTCAGGATTGAAATAGAAAGAACCTGAACTTCTGAAGAAGGTTCTCAAGTAAAATACTATTTATAGGAGTTTCAGCGAGCTCAAGTTCCAGGGAAGAGAAGCTGCCCCTATCACTCCTTTAGTCATCCTTTCTTCAGTCAGATCAAATCAGATCAGATCAGCCTTTCCTAAGTCAGATCAGTTCTCTACAAGCTGTTTTATGCATTGGATTTAGTTAAGGTAGACTTCTTTATTTAATGTAGAGTTCTTACATAGGTAGCCTGCTTAGCAGATGAACCACTGTATTGTCTAGTTAGTTCAGATTTCTAGAGGTTTTAAATGTTTTTATATCCATTTCCCCAAGTTTACCATATATCATGATATAGGAAAAAGAAATACACAGAAATGGCACTAGTTAAAGTTGAAGCGAATACCTGTTTCCAGTTACTTCATTCTCCTTCTTGCTGGATTCAGTGAGACAGTGACTGACTACTTGAAAGCAGAAATACCAGATTAATTTTGGGAACAGAAATTAAGCCTTTTTTTTTTTTTTTTTGGCTTTCTATTTTCTTTTAGAAAGAATAAGAGTAGACCAGTATTGGGAGAGCAGTGAGTGAGGAGAAACTGCAGAGTTTTAGTATACTTAAACTTGGAAAAATGTTATGTTCTGAACAGTACAAGACAGGAAGATAACTTTTTCAGTTTGCAGTTTTAACATGTGATGACAGGTCTGAGTTTTCAATAGGCAGATGTGCATGATGGCTTTACTTTGCCCCTTTGAATTGTGCTCATGTGTATAAAACACCACACACAGGCACACACATACAGTATATATGAATTATATATTAATCAGAGCAATTCTGTGGATGAAATTATATCCTCCATTTTTAGAGGGGGAGGTGCACAATAAATTTTAGAGGAGAAAAGTTAAATGCCTGAGGGTAAATGGACAAGCATTGTAGCAAGTCAGTGGGTTTTTTTGAAGTCTGTACCTTTACAACTGATGAAACACTGAACAACTCTCCACAATGTGTCTAGATACCTGTCCTTAATCAGAGTGCCTTGCAAACTCAAAAGCATGAAGTCGTATTTCTAGTAAGTAACCTAGTGCTATTTTCTTCTGCAAAGGCAGTTTACTAGAATTTAAAATCCATAGAGAACAGGGAGCAACTTCTTCCCTCCTACATAAACTGACATCTGAACGTTTAAACTGGAAAAGTACAAAAACTAGATGAGTGAGAAAAGCCTGCAAGCCCTTTGGAATAAAATCCTGCAGCTCTACCATGCATTGATTTATATTGAATATAGCTATAGTTTATGTCAGCAAATAGAAGATGGAAAAACAACTCAATATAGAAGCAAGAGCAACCCAAAACACACGAAAGTCAAACACCTTATTTACGTGCCCAAAAGTTCAGAAGATTGACTGCTGGGTGCCATTTTTCTACAGAAATACAAAAATACAAAAAGTAGTATTACATAAAAAAGTGAAAATTGAGAAACTTCAGTAGATCAGCTTTTCAACTGAATGCCTCTTGAGTGGATTGGATGTTGTGTGTTGCGGTAAAATTGGAGTTGACTTGGTAAAGAACAAGAGAAGGTAGTGATCATGAGACTCAGATTCTTCATTTAGGTTTGAATTTAAAAAGGCAGAGAAGAATGTGCTTTGAGTTTTGAAATAGGTAATGGCTGTATCTATACTGCTCAGTACAACAAACCTAGGCTCTATCATTGGTAAAGACCAGACCAGCTTGGGAAGGGCTGTCACTGTAATAGTGAAAGATCATCTGCTTCCTAGTGAATACATACCATGATTACATTTTTGTCATGAACATATAATTGACTCATTCTAATGTTACCTCCCATTTTACAATCACCTGCATTTGGACTTGAGATAGGAAAATTCTTATTATGACATTCTGATCAAGAACTGCTTAAAGGGTGTCTGAGAAACGATAGTGTGAGGTGAGGTAGTGCAGGACAGAGGATCTGAGAGGACATTTTGTGTGTGAGCGCAGAATCATCTGCAGGAAGGTACTTAGATATGTGGATTCAGAGAATATCCAGGTGGAAGAGATGAGAAGTTTAACAGGGTGAGGATAATGGAGAGGACATTTTGTTGACGTGAGGAAGATAAGGAAATACTTTAAAATGCCTGAAGTTCGCTTATGTTGGCTTTGCCTACATCTTCTGTGTTTTGCCATTTACAGCTGTTGTAGCTTAATACCTGCATGTATATATATATATATTAAAAAAAGAAAAACACACAAAAAAAAAACAACAACAAAAACAACCCCAACCCAAAAAACCTAAAAAGAAGCAACCAAAACTGTACAGAAAAGTATCAGGGAATAAAACTATGTTTATTTATTTCAACAGAATGCTGAAATTTCTGTTTTTGAAGTGAACATCCGTTTTGTCGGTGGATTACTTTCAGCTTACTATCTTTCAGGAGAAGAGGTAAGATATTTCCACATGGCTTATTTGAAATATCATCATCTAGATAAAGAGCTAACTTTTAATGATTTTATTTATCAGAATTAAGCTTGTTTAGAACTTTGAAAATGGCTTGTACAGGAGAGATCTGTCCAATGGATTTTCTTCTACTACTGTTGCTTTGTATAGGTCTTAGTGTTAAATGAATTTTTTTTTCCCTAAGTTGAAACCATACCCAGTACATTCTTACTGGGCTTTGTGCTGGAGTGTGTCATTACGGAGTTCCTGTGCCATGTAGTGGTATATTTGGTGCATCAGGTACCTGCTTCACAAATTGATTTGAAGCATATTCTCTAACTCCTCTAAACTATACTTCTGTTGGCCTTCCTGAAGCTGAAGCTTCAACTCACATGGAAAAGACACGTTAAGAATGAAAGGGTAACTGGTAAACCTATGCGTGTGAATGTCTTTAAAGCATTAATATCCCATTAATCTCTATTGCCTGTCATGGTTTCTGGAGAGGATGAAGAAGTGATTTCATGTAAGAGCTTTGACTAATGCAATTATTTCTGTAATATATTTAGAGAAGGCTATACTAAGTCACAGGTGCTGTGATATTTTAAACTTCTAGCTTGGCACTTGAAAAGTCTTTTATCTTACTAGTTTAAATTCTTGTTCCTGTCTCTGGATTATAGTCATATTTTATTGTAGAATTAAGACAAGTTAATACTCTTTAACCGTAAGTTGAATTTATCATTGGATTTCTTTAAATCCAAAGCAATTACTGGTGGAAACTCTACAAAACCCTAAAGATGTATAATTTTCTTTCATATGTAAATTTCCCAAATACTGGATAAAGCTCTGTTTTCAACCTGTCACTTTAAATTAACTTAAATTCTGTGGCATGCATGTTGGTTTTTGTTAAAATTTATCATTATGTTAAAACTGTCTTAGCAGGTATGATTTGGTCATGTACCTGGCAAAGCAGTTATAAGGAGACAATGTTTCTCTGACACTTTACATCTTAAGTAGACTTATCTTTTTATTTCCCATGGTCCTGTCCTGAGTGTAGGTGGCATTGAAAAGACATTAATGTTTTGAAATATACAGTTTTTCATATTTTAACTGTCGTATAATTTTCTGGAAAAAAATTGCACTTAGACCCATTCCAAATTCACACTTAAACAGTAATGAAAAAAATTGAGAGGTGCTTGGTAGATGGCTTCTTCATCTTTACTAAATGTTGTTTTACTTAATGTTTCATCTCCAACTCTTGAAGGAAATCGCTCGTCCTCATACAGTAACTCAGCAACTAGAAATAAGCTTATCTAAGGAGGAATAGAATTGAAAGCTCTTCCTTCTGCGATTAAATAGTTGTATCTTTCACTGCAGATCTGCTTCTCACAACCAGGAATTAACTTTTCCAGTATAACCTATTGGTACATTTTAATTAAGCAGTTCTGACAGAAGCAGAGGATGCTTCTTGCCAGACAACAAGCTGGTAGAGGACAGCACGTGAGCCTTTACATCAAGTGGCAGTTGTCTGCCAAGAAATGCCTGAACCATTTGTCATCAGTGCTGTTGATTTCATATATGTGTTGATGGTTTATAACTTGTGTCTGTTAATGTGCAGGCTCACTTTCAATCAGTGCATATAGTTTCTCCTAAGTAACACCTAGTCATTGCTTCTCAACCATTCCGTCACCTTTAGAGAGGCAGTTTTACCACCACCTCTTGGACTAGATTGGTGGCAACACTGGTGTCGAAATAAAACTCTGTTGTACAAACAAAATGAGGAAATGTTTAAGACAAAAGAAGGTGTTTCACACAATGCATAATTAAGTGGAACTCTTTGCAGTGGAATATTAGTGATACTGGATGCTAATGTCCATTCTAAAAAAGAATGGACTCATTAATGAAAGTAAAATGGGCCCCTAAACACAAAGACGATGTGTACGATTAAGGAGGGTCCTGAGCTCTTGCAGGCTGGGAAAGACACCGTCCATGCCTGCCACTGGTTTTCATACTCTTTGATAGACATCTTCTGTCCGAGACAGAATGATGTTCCTAAACTAACAGTTGGGATACAAATTTGGGGAAAACTCCCGCTTTGTCTCCTAAATCCAAGACACTGAAGCAATAGCCAGGTGCTGCCTATGGGAGGAGCGGGATGCAGCCGTTGCGAGGACAGAGCAGCCGTGCAGCAGTGTGAGGTTTCCCGTGTTGCGTGGGTCCGTCCTTCACTGGTGCCGCTGACGGGTGCGGAGAGGACTGAGGTCCCCAGAGGCTGGCTGCCACCATAGAAAATATATCTTTAATCATCCTTTAGTCCATTATATTAGTGGGCGTTCCTAAGGAGGTGGAACAACCTGTATGCAGGCTGTTTGGAGGATTAAGCTTTCTCAGTTAAAAGCTCATTTTATTCTTTATCAGATTAACTGTTAAAAAATCTTATATTTGCGGTACACACTTATCAATATCCTAATTAAAGAAAGCTATGTTTCAGTAAAAGGAGTGACAGAAGTAATTATTGTTTGTATTTCTGAATTACATTTCCATGGGTAATGATCCAAAGCTGCAACATATTGTGTGTTCCATAATCATTTGTAAGTCTAACTAATCATGATTAAAGAATATCCTATCATACTGAGTAGTTCCTACAACATCCTGCTCACATAATAGTTCATTTAGATAAAGGCACGAATATGAATAACTTTTAAAATGAACAAATGGAATACTTTGCCTCTTGATAACGGTGTGTGGTACTTACTTGCAAATAGAGCTATGAGATATATTATATTAAACTTTCTAGAATGTCTGCCTTACTAGAATTAATATGAAATGCCTAAAAGTGATAGAACAGTGTCATAAGCTTTAAGTCACTTTTTCTTTGTATTTTATGATTGCTATTTAAACGCAAGCTAGAAATAATTCCAGGCAAATATCAAACTTCATTTGTAAAACAGCTACAAATACCAGAAAATTTGATTTCAAGGTAAGTAACTTTTTAAGGACTGCTCTTTTTTTTTTTTTCTTTGAAGTCCCTCATAGTAATATTACATGTGAATGCTTCCCTGGTATTTTTCCATGAGTCAGTGGCTATAAGGGATTATTAAAAATAAACCTGTCTCCTTTAAAGCAGTGCTACTATTGATTTTTTTGTTTGTTTGTTTGTTTATTTGTATGAAAGCATCTGGAGGATCCTGTAATATGGCAAGTTTAAATGGTAGGAACAGGACAGATTTATTCGCAAAGTTTCTTGATTGTTTTGTTTAAATTAAACTTGAATTCATTAGTAGACGTGTGATTCCTCTTCTAAGCAACTTGGTATGTGGCGTTTTTTGATTTTGTACTGGAAAATAAGACGTCTAGTAAGGGAGAGATTTGTTTTACAAATGTTTTGTGGTACTTACTAGTCTGATGTAAAATTCTGGTATACCAAGGGTCAGGAGTATTGCATGCAACAAGATCCCCTCTTCTGCAGACCCAGGTATTTTTTTTCCCTCTTGCTTAAAGGACACTTCCAAATGTAGTCATATAAGGACATAATTTGTTAGCTGTTGGAGGACAGCACTGTGTCCTCTAACAGCAGCTAAGACCTTTCTTGGAATTCATGGAGATGAAAAACATTATTTCTCAGCACTGTAATCTTCACTGTTGGGAATTACTGTGATACTGGTGCTGAAAGTCATGGTAAGTGTATGGTGCTGCTTGTAGAGAATATACAAGCCTAAAGACTGGTCTGAGTAGCTCTCCTGGTTTGCTAATAGCTGGGTCTTACAGGTACTGCTAAAGCTGTGTAATAAGGGGACTATTTTACTTGAAGGTTGGTTGCACAGTCAGAGAATACATTGCATAGGCAGAAATAGAGGGAGCTTTTAATAATTGCTGTTTGTATGAGTAGCAAAGTAGTACATCCAAAATGCTCTCAAGTGAATAAGGAGCATGTGAGTTTCAGATCCAGCTGGTAAGTTCCCAGATTCCTTTGAAGCTTTTCCGTTTTTTTTAATGGGATGAGTTTTGGGGTTTTTTTTTCCCCAGAGTTAAAATATTTTGGATTTAACAGCTGTTTTTCTTGCATAATATAACCTTCTCATTTCTAGGACTAAAGATAGTTGATAATGATGTTCATATTGCCATTTCTCTCCATGGCATGAAGCAGAAATGTGACAGGTTTGTGTTTTTTTTTTCTTTTTCTACTCTGGCAGCATATCCTGTTTGAAGGAAAACAAATTTATCCTGATCAGGATGAAGGAATAAAAAAACCACAAGAAACTGTTCTTCATGATGATACATGTTGGACTTTCTGAGTTTCATCTATTACTGTCTTACCAACTGTTAATTAGAAGTAAAAAAGAAAAAAAGAAGATAAAAAAGTGGTGACATATCACCTAATTAGTTTATACCTGCATTTAGAATAGGAGTTACAGTACCACTGTTCAACTTCACTTGATGATCTTGGCCCCCCCGTCTGACTTCAGACTTAATCATTGCCCACTTAAAGCAACCATCTATCAGGGATGGTCATGCTGTCTTATTAATGAAGAGCAGACATGAAATAATGATGCAGATGCTATTGATTTAAAGCTGCCTTTGCCTGGCTGACCACAAAACATTGCTGACTTCATATAGTGCTAATACATTCTCTAGAATTTAGCTGTAGTTATCTTTATCTGGCTCTTCCTCTCTTGTAGAGGTCTCCTGTCATAGAGAATATTTAAATTCCATAAATATAATTCACCATTTAGCAATCTTGAATAGTAGGAGGATGAAGTTTGTCACCTATACAAAGGTATTGGCCTATTTCTGCAAATCAGGAATGTAAGTTCCAGTATAGATGCCTTAGGGATCTTACCTCACCAGTGTGAGAATTGACCACATGTTTTATCTCCCACTTCCTTTCACTTAACTTGACGCTAATTAACAAGAGGACTTTTGCTTTTATGTCTTGGAAGCTTGATTTCTAATGCTGTTTGAAACTCCGGGCATACTGTATCAGCTTGATCACTTCTGTGTGAATGCCA